CTTTATGGTAGCACAGCGGTGAAGCTAAAAGGCAGAGTTACAGCACCAAAGTATTACTGGAAAGCCGTGTGTGATCCTGCAGCAAGGGGGTCGATTTTGTTCGTCGCAGAAAACAATGTCAATGTCATGACCACGACCCGCATCACAGGGTGTAACGGCATTTCTCAAACATCCGAGAATGGCGTGGTTCASTGTTATGCACTGGATGCAGCGAAATCAAATCCAGACTTCCAGGATTTTCAGCTTCCTCCCTTAGATAAAAAGAATTGTAACCCTGCTAACAGAGGTACTTTCATGGATCATATTATTCGTTCATTTCTGAATAAATGATAATACTAATAAACATAGTGGTATTATGAGATAGCTGATGGAAWAATATGACGGAGATAATGCATTAAAACGATGAAAAATGGAAAAAAATTGAGCCGTATTTTTAGGTATGATATTTTTGWGTGGATCTTAAACTATTTCCATTTTTCCTGTTAGTGTTGTTGYTACTGTTGTTGCTGCTGCTTTTGCTGCWGTTGTTGYTGTTGCTGCTGCTGTTGTCGCTGCTCCTGTTTTTGTTTTTGCTGTTGTTTTCGTTACTTGCCGTTCTTATGTAAGTTTTTAACCTCCTCAGGAAAAGCAAATGTTAAATTTCAACTGAAGGAACTACCGACGTTAAATATAGGTACTTTACTTTACTTTATGTTAATTTTTTTTAAAATTTTTCCTCTCTACTATGTCATTTTCCAACATCATATTACGTGCATCTGTTCACAAAGATAGAGATAAAAAAGATCYTCTCTTTCCGCTGCTTTGTCTCTAACCTCCCTTAATTAGTGCCATTAGTCTCCTACCCATGTTTGAAACATAAAACAAGGTCTGCGAGCAAAATGTACATGTAAAATCTAATGCCGTTGCCTAGCAACACTACCGGTCTCTTTGTTCAGACAACATGAATGACTTGAATGCAACGTTTCTCAACTGTGAAGATAATAATAAAAGGGCWGTTCCTTAATTGAAAGTTGATTTGTCTAATTGCACTGAATAAAAGCCCTCATTTTGCAACAATAAAGACAGTGTTTTCCTTCCATTCSTGTATAATAATTCGACTTTTCGTGTTTCACAAAAACAGATTTTCACTTTGACTTTTAATGATTTTTTTTCCCTTCCATATAATATTAATATTTTTCTGACAATAAAAAGAGGAAATTCTCTTATATAGTTTGTAAAATATGATATAATAACAAGATATACATTCATAAACAATTTATATTTTCAGTTCAAAGCCGTGTAGTTCTGACTTCTGATTGGCTGGAATTCATTTTGAGGATGTTGAAAAATTCTGGGTTTTTTTTCTGGAGGAACGAAACGAATGTTTTATTGATATTTTAAGAGAGATTTTTCATCTTTTCTCAGCCCACCCAGAGCGCTTTAGGGACCCAATTAAAGCTAAGAACAGCTTAGGCCTTCTTTATTAAAATGCAAATTCTTCACGAGATTTGTGAAGTCACTATTCAGCGCAAGGCTTAATAATGAGCTTGCAATGGCAATGGAGGATTGTGTGAGTTTGATTATAAAGGAGCCAGGATGTTTCTTAATAAAGGAAGAAACTACTTCTAACCTACAACTCAAAGTGCTGGGGCGTTTATAGGTAAGTTTAAGTCTTGTATTTCAACACCTATTCATTTGTAATCTCAGTGAAGTTTATAGTTTATCAGCATTTGCACGCGTTATACGACCTCGACTTTACAGACTGACTTCAAGCCAAARCCTTCCGTTTATCGCTCGCTTTTCTTCTGTTCTCTACTAACACCTTTTAACACGACTGAAGTATCGTTTTCACTACCATGTTTTTCTTCTTTGGTCTTTTCTACCACTAAAGTAATTTGTATTCAATATACTCGTGTAAAATGTTTGAAATTCTTGTTGAATTTTATAGCTCAGAAGTAACCAGGAAATTCAACAAATTCTTCGTCTGTAGCCTAAAAGGTTTCTCTGTTTTGTGAGAACATAAGATTATATAATCGCTTTTTTCCTTGAATTTTGCATCGGGAATAATGCAAAATTATTCTGCTCTGGAAGACGAAAAATCGTGTAGTTTATTGTCGAGGATTAGTTGAAGCTTTGAAAAGAATGTAAGCCTTTGTAAGCTTCTGCGTCTATTGTGAAATGATTGGAACGAGATTTCCTATAACTTTGAATAAAATATAGAGATTTTCTTATATTCTACCTCCAATGAATTTAAATAAAAAGCATTTCATCAGCAAAATCTTCACTTCCACATCAGCTTGTCATCAGTTGACTGAATTTTTTGTAAACAGAGTCAAAGAACTTAGAAAATAATTGATTGTGTAAACGAGCTCGTACAGCTCTCAAAATAAACTCGTGTTCTGTTCCACTGTCTCATTGTCATAAGGAAATTTTTTGTTTTTTTCTATTATTTATACTAAATTACATGAAAAATGTCTTTAGTTTTTTAGCTATCCTGCTGTGATTTGGAAAATGAAAGACCTCAGAGCTTTCAAAATTCTTAGCATGACATCTTTTTTTCTTTTTACGAACTTTTCATTGAAGAGTTTTTTTATAGTCTTAACGCCACAATTTATTTTAGGCCAAGATTTCAGTAAACCTTACTGGCGTGAACAATAAAAAATTAATTGATTTATTTTATGATTACAATTTAATTGAGCCATAATTTATGTTTGATGTTTTTAAGTAGTTGTTTATCTGAAATTGTGAGAAATGTCCAAAACTTCATCAGCAATTAATGTATAAAGAATTATATCAACTTTAACACCCAGAAACTAGGAACTAGTCATGAAGAATGTAAGAGCTTTGCGGTGAAAATAATTTAGTAAAAACAAACTGCAAACTCTAGAATAGTTTACAATCAATGATAGATTGATATGAACGTTCACTTGTCAAAACTCATAATTCATCGACAATAACTATTTGAGAAGATATTGATTAAAAGTGACATGACGCTGAAAATATCCCAACAATTAGCGAWATGGTAACAGATCGAATATATAGTATAAATTTGTACCACAATATTTGTCGAAAATATATCTATGTGAATATCAAACATCAGTCGCCATTAGTCAGTTTATTCTACAGTTTCGCAACCAGTCAGCCTTAATATCTTAAACCATCCATCTTAATCGAAACTCCGTCTAAAAAGTATTATACATGCATATTTGCATTTGGTTAATATATATATTTATGTTTCAAAATATATACGATTTTTTCCCTTTTTAATGATGGCGTAAAATTGAGAGTGGTTTCCATGACAGCAACAGTAAACAAGAAGTCACGCTTGCACGCGTGAGCAGTGTACAGAAAATTAAATAAATTCTTTTAAAACATCTGTCAACACTTAATACCAAAATATATTTCTCGGGTTTAATTCCTATAAGACTGTTAGACGCTCAAAGCCTTCAGTTACAGAGAGCTTATTCAGTTTGAATCCGCAACTTTCGTTTTGGATTGGCCTCCAGTCCCGACATGTCCGATGAAGTTTTTGAATACGCTTTTTCAATACGGCCTCGCCCGCAACGAACAAATTGCGGATTCAACTGATATCCGGAAACCGTGTGGACGCGAAAAGGGCCTCTGCAGGATTTCTGGAAAACTGCCTTTTGATTGTAAAAACGTGCTGATGACAAAGGTTTATGGAAATTGCTATTAAAACGTGAATTCAACTCACATGTGATGGTTGAGAGCATGCCGCATAGGCGTTTCATTGCAATACCCTATTCGAACTGAACACCAGAAAACTACTGAAGTCTATGAGTTAACTGTAATGTTGTTTGATGCCACTTGCCTATACTTGTCTTTGCAACCGCTTTTTGTGCAAAGCAATTTTWTGAAGAAACTTGTTCAAGCAACTCTCATTTCTCTTAACCTAGGTAATTGGAATTGCGGTAACCGACTAAATTTACGATTGAATACACAAGTTAAGTCAGCCCCGATAGCATCAGTGTTGCATCAACTTTTGTTGCAACTTGCAGGTAGTTCAAGAAACTCAGTTGAGTTGACTAGTGAAATTTGTTAACGAAATGCAAGTCAGGCATATATATACATCACTTGTTGTTCCACTTGCATATTCTTGACTTTGCAAGCTCCTGCGCAAAGCAGGTATTGCAAGAAACGTGTGCAAGCACTATTCCTGTACAATCTAGTATTTAAATGGTAACACTAGCTATTAATGAGCGACAAGTCAAATTAGACTTGCATCAGTGTTACTGTTCTTTTGTTCGTTGTCATTTGCCACCTATTCCTTATCATTGTCTTTGCCAACTTTCTGTTGAAAAGCAGAATTATCTCGTTCCGAGAATATTATGCAAGCTCGTCCAATAGTTAAATTTTTAACTAGAACTCGATTGGTAYGTAAAACTATAAGTGATTCTTGATTCTGTGAACTATAAACAGTCGTGAGACAAGAAAAAACAAGTAACATACAAACATATAGGTTTTTTGTCAACTCCCCTGTAAAAGACTGTTTGAGAAAGACAATCTTAGAAAAAATTAAATGTAAAACTTCAATTCAAAACTCTTTCTATCTTAGATATCTTCATCACCATACTAGAAAATAAGTCCCAAGTTGAGGAGGATTAAGGAATTATGCAGGGAATTCGAATGTACTTTTCTTGGTTTCTTTGTACTGTTCAAACAACATCAGATATTGATGTTACAGATATCACAGCAGACGCCACTTGAGACAAGTGTAATTGCTAAATTCCTTGATATTTCCTGATGATAAAACCAAGAGTCCAAAGTTAACTCGCCCACCGTGAAATTTTAATGGAATCGAATTAGAGGCTTTCTCACAGCATGAGAAGCTGATTCTTGGCAATGATGTTCCTTGAACAGGCAATTCTTTGCATTACAATTTTTTTCATAACTCAATTTTGTTAGATAATATTGGTTTTACTGCACTGAGGACCTTCTTAAAAATCACTATAGTGAAGAAGCATCCTGTTTAAATATCATTGTAAATAAAATGAAAACAGTACCAGCTTCGCATTGGTGGAAATGATTGACTATAAACCTACCTGATGTGAGGTGAGGTAAACAGCTCAGCATTGGTTGAAATGATCGATTATAAACCTACCTGATGTGAGGTGAGGAACGCTATGTCCCATACATCGTCGCCACCACCCTAGGGCGCTTTGGCATCGTCTTTTCTAGATCTTTTTAGGCCAACGGAATCTAATACATTAATACTTTCTACTCCAATCAACATTTATTTGAGTTCAAAAATTTAAAAACAAAAAACAAAAACACGTACGTAGAAGACACGAGGAATCAGTGAAACGTAAAGCACAATTACAGCACTTACTGCCACATTCCAAGTTCACAATTTTTTTAGCTCTTAAATCCGTCTTAAGTTCCTTATCAGAGTAACTGTACCAATTTGGTTTTACGTTTCGTTTGGAAAGTAAAACGTGGTTGGCAATAAAACGAAGGTCAACGGTTCAAATATTTCACGACAGACCCTCTCAGTTACATYATTTCACCAACTCCAAGGCATCGATTTTTTCATCTGTGTTAAGCAAAACTTCAACATCTTGTTAATTTGACTACATGACTTTCTCAATCAATTTTAAAATAACAAAGAAATCTATATTCAAAATACATTCCCGTTTTAAAAATCGCATATTTTTTAATTAGAATTAATTTGGCAGAAAAAGAAGCTATTTCTAGAATATTTTACGAGTTGATGCCACAAGGTTTCTTCTCTCTTGCCAACATCAGATTTGCCCTACGGCAACTTATCTAGACTTGAATAACCAGACAGTTACCCTGCTTGATCTCGCGTCCTCCTCATTGGTAGCGTTACTATTGTTTCAATGGCTTTCCATTATGCTGATAAATACAAGACTTTTTCATCGAGACTCAACGTTGCAAATACACACCAGATAACTTGTGGGTAACTCGATATCTTTAAGGAAAACTTTGAGTGATTAATCTTCTGAAGGGAAATTAAACTATGTACGACTAAAAATGTTGCGTGAGAAAAAAATGGCTATYATTTTATGGTTAAACAAAAACCTTTAGGGTCAGAGAAGGAGCTATCTTTAAGTTTAAGTATATCTTGTATCGCTAAGATAATTAATCAAGGAAATTTTCTGACAAATTGTAGTGACCGAGTTTTTTAATTTTTTAATTTTTTAAAATTTTTTTTTTTTTTAATTTTTTAAAAAAAAGTTGACCTGCAAAAATGTTTGTCATTTTACAGCTTTGAGACAAGATTTTAACCAAGAAACGATAGTTTCATTCGTGTGTCAGCTGATTCGACAAATGTTCTACTCAGCATATTCTGAAGAGTAGACAACGATTTGTTCTGTCAAAAACGAGACCACTCGCATCGCCTATATTTTAGCTATTTTATGAATTTATCCTGTCAAATTTGAGACAGAAAATCACTTGCCAAGACAATATATATTAAATTTTCAATAGCAAAGTTCAATTAGAAAACAAATAAAAACACTTAACTTAGGTATCTACTAAGTCTTATGCAAACATRAATGGTTTAAATGTCAAACTGTGGCTGACAAAGTCTTGAGATGAATCGTTTGTTTGACAACGAAATAAAGTGGTCTTGTTCAGTTAGATTGGATTCATACGCTTGAAGCTAAGTGGATAAACTAAACGAAGATTAATGCGGTTCTATATACTAAAAAAATAATTTTCGACTCAAAACTAAACAGTTCTCAACCTTCATGATTTTTCAAATCCGATTGTACAAACTCAATTAAAAACCGTATGTTATGAATCTCTTCTGGTTGYCATAGCAACTAAGTAACCCTTCAGAAACAGTCAATATTATCGTTTCTCGAGAAAATACAAAATAGCATTAGCAAATAAAATAAATTAAATACAACTCAGAAAACATTGAAAAAAGCTGCCGAAAATATTAAGAACTCTAAATGTTTATTTTGTCTGAGTAGATATATGATTGCTCACGCGTGTGGCAAGTTTTTCCCGCCAAAAGTGTGTTTGGCGGGACGAGAATGGACGCGTCTTGATGAAAGGTCTTGTCAGCCCAAACGGGTTAAAGGTATTGATTACTTGGTATGATAATTGATAGAAAATGATAGGAAATGGGATGGAATGTTTATAAAAGGCTCGGAATATTTTCGCTAATATAATGCATTACCTTTTCTGATTGTTAGAACAATTCTAAATCCCTCTTCGAGAAGCGAACAATAGCGAAACACAAAGCCTCGTGGTAGACGTATTATTCCAGGTTATTTGTCGACACAGAAAGATAGGAATTCGAATAACTTTGCTCACAAWTGAAAGGAATGTATGACAATGATCTCGGAACTCGATATGTTTGATTGTCTTTGTCGAAGAGCGTCGCGTGAATTAAACTGSTAGTTAAAACACCAGAACAGCTGGAAGCTAGATTACTTTGCTGCCGTTTCGTCCAAGGTTTCTTCAAGTACAAAATGAAGTCCTTCGGTCTCAAATTGTAAGTAGAAAAATATTTTTTATCTCGTTAGGACCAGTAATAGAGTGTTATTATCATTGTTCTGAGGTTAGCGAAGGTAGTTAGCAATAYGTTGAAATATTTTTTTCTTGAAGTTTATAAAATGTGACAACTTAATCAACTCTAAAATCACGAAAGAGGTTTCTATATTATCACTATACCCGCGCTGTGCATGGCTTTAAATTACTTCAAACCGCTTTCTAGGCACAATATCTTTTCTCKTTACTTTTGAGCTGGGTTTAAAAGGTCTTCCAGAAAAACAAACATTTATTTTTTGGCATGCTTTTCTGTAGTTTTAAGATCTTTGCATTTGAATCCAATTTGTGGCGCAGATAATCTATRAGAGGTGTTAATACTATTCGATAAAATCTGGACTTTTAGAGTTTTTTTTCACCTAATTCTATGAGTTGGCCTATGGCTTTTCTTTATCKCCACGTTAACTTGCAAACAGCTTTACGTTTTGCGTCCCCAAGTCGCGCTCTAGTGGTCTGTAAAAAGAACAATTGTCTATCAAATAAAAACCCAAACAAATCATTAGTTGAAGCCAAAATGACTTGTCGCAGACTGCTTGAAATATTAAACATGAACTAAGAAAATGTGATTCCGCACGATCACATATTTTTAAAAGGTTTTCCTCCAAGTATTCAGCTTTTCAGCTGCGCCTTTCCKTTATCCATTACGAAACGTTTTTTCGTTTTTAGCAATCTCATTCCTTCTAGGACGAATAGATAAAAACGCTTGCTTTATAGAAGCGAAGTCGCGTCTTCAGTGTGACCCATGAAAACAAGGGGGGGAAATCAATTTATATCAATATATTAATTATATTAATATTAATATTAATATTTTTACTACTGCTTAAAAAATTTCTTGATTTCATCTACAATTAGTAGGCTATCTATAAGTAACGTTGTCTTGTTAACCTGAGGTGAATTTACCGGCCCAAATTGTCGTGTTTTTATCGTGTAAATGTTCTTCTACGAAAAGGCCGTTCACTCAAAATTGGACGTGATCGTGTGCACGCGTCGCCTRCTTTCTCATTACGCAATTGGAAAAAATCATTTTTGATTCCATTTAAGACGAGAATCGTGACTATTAAAGTCAACTGCACTACGGCTTATGATGCGGTAATTACTTTTCTTCGATAACTTGAACTTTAGTAGTGTTGTAGGCTTTAAAAACAAAGATTGAAAATTTCGTTGTTATTGTTTTGGAAGTATCAAAAACTGTTTCCGTGGGAACAGATTGTAATGAAGGAAGCGTAGACATTTGAGAGGACCAAAGGTTTTGGACGCTAAGATTGTTTTCCGTCTTATGGCCTTTTTAAGTTTGTGCCAAATTATAATTGTATTTGGGATATATCTTGTTTGCTTACACCAATGTGCTTTATCTGTAATATCATTCCTCATATATAGACTCAAAAATTATACAAAAAATGTATATAATTTAATTAATTTAGCTGGGTTTTTTTTTACGTTACAAAAGTATTCTTGATTCCGTTATTTCTTGACGTTCCGCGCAATAAATTTGAAAGAGAAATATAACATATCTACGGAAAAAACCCGTATGTTACTCTTGCTTCGCGCAACAGCAAACTCCAGAATAAGAACGAGTCAAGGTCCTTGGTTTCGCKWTAGGGATGTTGGCCTATTTGCCWRSSGGRAA